CCATTTTAAAAAAATGTTTCTTGAAGTGACCGAAAAATTGATTTAAAAATACCATTGGGAAGTTCCTTAGGGAATTTGATCACCATGAATTGAAGTAGTGTTCTTCACCCTTTAAAAATAAACACTGAATACCCCTAGCATCCCCCTATGTATGCCACATTTCTTTTGAAATGCTTCGTGTAATAGTTTAGTTCTTTCCTTCAGTAACCACAGTTTGGCCGAATGCAGTGGTGTAGGGTGATTATCTCAGAAGCTGCATGGCCTTATTCAACTGCATTTTGCTGTGTCAGTCTTCTTGTGATCACTACATCATCATCATTCAGCAACCGAAACATCTGCTTAGTAATGCCAGACATAAGGAGCTGGATTGTACTAGCTGCCTGCTTACTAAAACAAGCAATTCAGAAAGTTGATATTCATGATGCCAAATGTAGTTTGAGTGCCACTTATCTGATAATTCACCTCGAAGTTGTGCCATGATATTTGAGAACAAATAAAACGTCCAATCTAGTTACCACAAGACTTCCCTATCTAAATGTGTAAACATCTCATTCTCAAGGAATTTCATCTGAAGGCCTTTGACTCTGAAGGAGAGCTCTGAATAGTTCTGAGTTTATCAAACCTACAAAGCCTGGAATAAAGCCAGGCTGTTTAGCAATGGTTCACATTGTTGTAGTTCCTTAGATTTTCTTGACTGTGCTCAGGTGAATACTGATATGGAAATTCCTTCAGGATGTCTCTTGAGGCATTGTTACATTGCAATTTATGAATCTGAAACTAGTACAGAAATATGGAAATATTGAAAATGCATAATGGATTGGAAATGTTGCAGGTATGTTTGTGTCATGATGATTTTCCCCACAAGCCACACCTCATTTCCTTCGCTGAACCCCCGACTTCTCTTGGGACAGTAGAAGTGTTCCCAGCTGTTGCAAATGCTAATTGTGCTACTGGTAGCAGAAAATTCATGCTTCTGGATATGTTTTATGTGCTTGGCTTTAACCTGTAACAAAGTAATAGTCAAATATAATTGTCCTATATATTTAAACCAGATTTCTATATTAACTTACCTTTTTAGAGAAGATTCTTTCAAGGGAACTCGAACTTTTATGTGTATTTGTTTTTCAGCATAAGCTTGAATGTCCTTACAGTACAGTACCTTTTCTAAAGAATGTCGTAATGCCAAGAAATGTGTAATGTGTATAGAAAGGACATATCAATGATTCTGATTAATCTTTTCTCATGAGACTTTGGATTGGATGTTTTAGTCCCTTCCTAAACTGTATTCCAGTGGGAATTCACCTTCCTACTTATTGATATCTTTAGAAATACTCTGTAAAACTGGATTTTCTTTCCCACCCCTCCAATCTAGTTCAGTACTAGTTACTAGGAAATTGTTATGTTGAAAATTGTAGCAATTGTTACCTTGTTAATGGGAATGGTGCATGAGGTTATCAGAAAAAAACCTATGTCCTAAAATCTGAGATTTAATGTTTTCCTTGTAGTATAAGGAATAGTAGTATACTTTTAAACATTTTGCTAATGTTTATTACATTATTACCATTAATGTTTATTACTGTTATTACCAGATGTCTGAATGTATTTCCATTGAATGTACTTGGAAAATGCAGGACAGAAATTTGCATTTTACTTTGCTGCTTTCTTGCACATTATAAACAGACTAAATATCACTCATATTATCAAAGCACTTAAAAATCAGAACAGAACAAATATCAACTAAACGTGCTCATCTGAACATGCTAATTATTAAACTAAAACGACTTTTGTGTATCTAGTTGTTCTTAGGACTGAATATTATGAAAGCTGTACATGTTCTACACAACTGTTTATTTCGTTAGATTATTAGATTACTAGTAGATAAGATTACAGACTACTAGACTTCAGGTTGCCTCTGTAATTGGCAATGAAATTACAAAATTATATACCATACATACATTTATAAATATGCTCTGTGAGAATGATAGAAATTAATTTGGAGACAGATCTGAGGTAATAGAGAATGTGTTATTCTCTGCTGTGCTCACGTTCACTCTGTGAAGTAGCTAGCTGTACCTCTGAAGGGACCTGAAAACGAATCAATTGTTTGAAAACTTTTCTTGTTTCAGAAAGCACCTCATTGTACCAAATACAATTTCTTCCATTTTGATACTGACTTGCAGATGTTTACAGTGTATGAGAGTAAATCAAGTCTTATGGCTTCCTTCACTGGTCATCACCTCAAGGCATTAAGCCAAAGGCTATTTAAAGTCTGTTTTGGATAAACCCTTGCTGGCATGTGTATAAGCTGGAATCTGTTGTGAAAGCCTACATCTCTCATTTTGAAAATCGCATGACACTGAAAGCACAAAGTGGTGGTTAGTCCTATTATGCTCTCTTGTTTTAAAAACAGAGGATTTCAGCCAGATGTATTTCAGCAAGGGAGAAGGATTTAGGCTAGTAAGAGTGAAGATAAGACTGTGAGGAGAATAATGAATCTTTAAGGAATATTCAGGACTTGCATTTCCAGCTGCTCTGAGCAACAGCAAGGAAAGAAAACTCAGTTTCTGAGCTATGAAAAGCACAGACCTTTCTCTGCTCTGCTGGATTACAGGAATCAATAATTTCACATTTTTTACACACTGCAGAAGTAAATGCCTGATCTCAGTCATGTCACCACATGGCAGATCAAAGACCTCAGGATCAAAGAGATTAAAGTAGCACAGGCTCTCAAAACATTTTCTGATTGAAAAACACTAATTAAAATTTCTGTAGAAATTCATGTAATGAGTTGCTACTAAAGTTTTTTTACAGGAAAAGTCCATCCAGATGTAAATAAAAAATTCCTTTTCTGTATGTTTCTTTAAAAGTGATTTATCCCTGATTTTATGTGTAGCACATTTCTTCATGTTACCTGTTTCAAAACGCTCAACTCAAAGCAGTTTGAAAGCAAACTATTTGTGACATGGTTCTTATTTCAGTCCCAAGGGTGTCTCACTCTTTAAGGAAGGATATCTTGGATCTCACAGCTGAAACAAAATGAGCTGATTTGCACACTGCTTTTTTTCCTACAGACAGGCTGTTGTGACAAGAGATGAGGGTGAGACTTCAGAGGTAGTTAAGGTGCCTCCATACAGAGGAGGAGGATGGCTGCACGTCAGACCCAATCAGGCCTACAGGTATTATTCCAACTCTTGCATTATTCCAGCTCCAGGCAGTAACTGCAAAGTTTCTGGTAAGTTAAAATAATATTGTAAATTGCATCAACTCTTAATTTGGCATCATACTGCTTCATGTGTTAGGCAGGTGACCCAAGGTTACATTACTGGTACAGATTATGGATGCCTGGATCCACAGTCCCGACCTTCATAGTATCATGAATTTGATACCAATGACTTTAGTCTCTAACTTCACTGTTTCTTGATACGGAAAAATCCTTATCATGTTTCATCATTCATAATGTTTAGTAATTTCACCATCATGGAACATCAGAACTAAGAAGTAATTTTCTATTCTATGGGATGTTGAGAAGCTGATGAAGGATTTTTACCAAATTCCCTCATTCTCGTAAAGAATGAATGTGCAACAAATTACTTGAACAGATTTAATAAACTGGCACAGTTGCTGGCAGGCTGAATTGGCCAGTCTCTTTTACCTGAGACATTAGTCAAACTTGTTCGTCTATGTGCTGAAAGTTGGTTTTGCTGGCAATTCAGACTCTGGAACCCATCTTCAAATGATCCACATAAGTAGATCCCTGAACTTTAAAGACACCAGTCACATGAATGGCCTGGAAAGAGTTCCCCGGAAGGACAGGGCCATTAGCTGAATCAATTTCAAACTCAAGCCCCGTTATAATAAAGTATTTCTCTTTGGAAGTCAGTCTGTCCTCCCAGAGGTGCTTTTTATGATATTTAACATGAGATGAATGATCTCCTGGATGATGAAGAGCACGTTAAACAGGCCAAACCTTGAGAGTTAATAGGTTGCTGGTTATTTATTATAACAATGATATGCCTGTGCTTTCAAGTATGCAGCAATTAATAAAGTCCCTTACCACAGGACCCCAGTGTTATTCATAATATTGTCAAAACCATTCAAGTTGCACTTTGTCTCAACAGAAGCAAAATGTCGAAAACATTTCCTTTGTCTTGGGAAAACAGAGCCATCAGTTGAGAAATAATATCAGTACATTACATGAGCTGGGTTGTAATTAATCTATTTTCTCATTTTATGGTGTATTTGGGGCCAAATTTTGAAGGATTCCAAGAAATTTAGAGAAGGCTGTGTTCTGTATGGTCTGTAACTATTTTCTCCTTATTATGAGTATGTGCTTTTATTTGAAGAGACTTAGGTCATCTTCTGATATTTGCTGCTGATTTATGCTTGTTGCTTTGCTTCTCAAATTTGTAAAGAGAAGATTAGAACTCAGCAGAACTTTTAAAGGAAATATCTTTCAGCCAAATCAGCTATTCCAGTACATTTTGTAAATGTATATAAATTTAAAAGCTTATTATGTGTTTGAGTCTGTTTTTTATTGTTTTAAATTAAAATATTTCACTTACGTATTTAAAATACAATTTCAGGACAGACTGCTTTTTATTGAAATGTCACTTTGTTTTAAATATTGCGATATTGTAAAAAAGGTAATGTGAGCCCCACATTTTCTTCAGAAAAGTTTTTTTCAGAGTGACTAATGAACCAAAAATGCCATTATTTGCTCAGCTGTTTCTTCTACCATGCTGTAAGGTTTCCTAATCCATTTGCCTTGAAAAGTCCACTGGCAGAAAACGAGAGCTCGGAGAATGTCCAAAATCCAGCACAGGTCAGTCTCTTGGGTATCTTGGGCCTAGTTTATGAGGAAGTCACTACCTTCCTGCACAAAAAGATAAGACTGAACAACATTATGCCCCATGTGGTTTGTTCAAAAACTATTAGAAACTCATTGCATTAATGAAACTAACTAAATGTTTCTGCAGTAGGGCTGTGCCTTCTCTGGGGTGAGGATCGCCGAGGTGCAGACAGCCTGTCAGCTCTTGGGTGCCCTGACTACAGTTCCTTGGAATAGTGGCAACATCAAGAATAAGAATCACAGAATGACCCAATGGTAAATACATACTATAAACAATATTTTCTAATTTATAGTATCTTAACAAGTGCACAAATAGTGTAGGATTGATTGTATTTCTTTTTCTGCTAGAGAAAAAAAGAATCATATCCCAGCAAGAGTGAATGGGCATTAGTCTAAATATGCATAGCCCTTTTTTGGGTGCCTCAAGAGAGCACATCTCTGCCACAAACCCAGAAAGGAAAAGGTGTTATTGTGGGGCCTGGTGGAAATCAGCCTCCAGATAAGAATTCAACATACTGTGGCACAAGAAGAAAATAAAAGCAACAAATGTTATGGCTTGCCAGAACAGGAGAGTATGTATTCACATTTGATTTTTGGTGGTGAAAAAAGGAGTGAGTAAGCAAACTTTCCATTTGGAGAAGTGTGTGTGTCATAGTTCAGATGTGAATGAATAATGGGAAAGGGCACACAAAAAACAATTTACAACATCCATCAAATATGGAAACTAGTCTGCAAGTTTATTTTAAAAAGTTAATTTAAATGAAAATGAAATAACAACATGTTGTATTTGTATCTAGTTAATCAAACAACAGTCAAAATCTAATTAAGCACTAGGCATTAAGTAGTCAGTAACAAGGAATAAAAGGTAGATATGCTGAACTAATATATTGAGGCAAGTGCACAAAGGGCCAGAACAAAAAGAAATGTTAATTAAAAGATAATGTCAAAGGGATAGAATGTTTTCTTGGGATAACAGTCTCCTGCTGCTAAATAAATACCGAGGTGAAGTCCAGGCATCCATCAAAACTGAATGCCAAGACAAAGGCAGCATATTTTAAGAAGACATTTATCTGAAACTCTCATAAAGAGACATTTCTCCTCATGAGAAAAGAGTGCTTCTGACCATTTATCCTTGGTCTGATAGATATCACTGGTATTGATGGACCATTTTTCATGATGTTATTATTGATTCAGCTGTACAACTGCGTAAGAAATGCTTTTTCTATATATTTGAGCAGGATTAGCAAAGTACATTTAGAAATTGGCTTGCAACTTGGAACTAGTTTATTTTTCCTGTGTGCTTGAATTTAGGGATGGTGTTGCTGGTGTGAATCTTGACAAAATCAGTGGGAGTTCTGCGGCTGGGTTAGGTAATACCACTACTTCACCCTTGCTTTCCTCATTCTGCTGCTGACCTGTTCTTGTCTCTTCACTCACTGGTGTCTGGTTAATTTTGATCTATAGTGAGAATCCTATTTTCCTGTTCAAAGATACTGTTTGTGTGGAATCGCTTTGAGGCTCTCGATGTGAAGTAATGGCAGCAGCTAGTGTAAAAATCTGAATACTGGGGTCAGGTTTTGCTAACTCCCACAACGTCAGACCAGCTGCTCCTCCTGTGCCCTCCCTGCTCCCTTTACCGAGCGCCTTCTGCGTCGGACCCGGGGTCATCCTGTCGGTCACGACGCGGGAGACGCCGTTAAAACACACCCCGGGCCCTGG